GGGGGGTCAGCCAAGGCATGCGTACACAATGTTAAAGTCCTATGTACGAGGGGCGTTTCGAGGGGAGGGGGGGTCAATTTTTAGACAAATTTTTGCGCACGTACTTATTGAATGGCCCCTAATTAACAATTGTACTAAAAATCTATTGATTAAATAAACAACGTTAATATTTGATATTTCACTCATAGAGTATTATAACATATTTAAAACCTACAATCATCTAAATCTTTTTCTCATATGATATAACAATTAATATATTTAATATGATTTCAAAAACAAATAACTAGTTAATATAAAACCAAGTTCAGTCCAATTAATGCAAATACTGATAATTTATATCAATTTCATATACTTTTCATATGAAATCAATAAAGTTTTTGGAAAATACTTTTCAATAGAATTTCGATTAATTTCTAAAAAATTTATCATTTCTTAATAAGTTAATTAATTATTAGTGAAATATCAAATATCATATTTAATTTGTTTATTTAATCAATAGATTTTCTGTATAATTGTTAATAAATATATTTGTACACTGGTACATTTCATTTTTAGAGTCTGAAAACCTTTTAAGAAATTATTTATATCAGGTAAATTATTAAAATAATAATTCTTGGAAACTTTCAATAAAAACTTGAAAATTAATAATTATTTGACAATTTATAACCTGTAAACTAATCAATGTTATATAGTTTGTTATAGAGATAAATAAAACACGCAAATATGTCCCTTGATTATTTATCTAATTATGCAATTAGTAAACATCTATATTCACACACTCGAGACATTTTACTTGAAAAGGTTCACTGATTGGCTGATCATTGGACATTCAAATTGTATATAAAATGAAATTCATCAACTTAATAGTTATAATTATTATACAATTGTTTTATTAGTATAATTAAAACACAAAGCTAAAATCATGTATAAATTGGTAACTCTGGTGGTTCTCATTACAGTTTCGCAAACTTATGGTAAGTCTATATAATAACAAATTTATGCTAGTTGCTATTTTAATTTTGAGGTAATTAAACTTAATTGTAATTTTAAATTTATTCCCATTTCTAGGTGAGGATGGAATATGTTCGTGGTATGACTCACCTCCCGGTGCCCTCACAGCCGATGGAGAGAATTACAGCCAAACCAACCTAACGGCCGCCCATAAGACCCTACCAATGGGGACGTGTGTAGAGGTGTCGTGTAATGGGAAGTCTGTCGTCGTTAGGATCAACGACAGGGGACCGTTCGTTGCCGGGAGGGTACTGGATATGAGCAGAGCTGCCGCTGAAGTGCTCGGTATTATTGATAGTGGGCTCTGTCAGTGCAACCTTGCTGTTATTCCCTTTTGTGTCTAAAGTTAATTGATCCAGCTATATGCATATAACACATTTTTGTATTTTTCAATTCAAGCAATGGTTACCTCTATAATAAAAAGTTGACAATTGCATTTAATATGACATTATTTTTAAATGACCAAAATTATTAAAATTAATTATAATTATAAATTATCTTAAATTTTAATAAAAATTAAATTTACTTGAAATTCGATCGATATTATTAAGTAAAATACTTTATTTTACAGTTTGTTTGCATATACGCGTAGAACGTTTTTACGTGTTGCATTTCATAAATTAAATTGTATTTTTACAAATATAATCCACAACATGTAAAAACGTTATAAATATCTTTTAAAAATAAATATAATCAAATCAACATTTTTTATTTATGCATTATTATTTGATTTCAACATTTAATTATAATTATAAATTAAATTATTAAATTAAATTTATATTATATTAAAGTTATTATATCATACAAACTTGTTTAAACAGTTATTTTATGTCTCATTGTGCAATGCAAAAAACTAATGATATTAATGCTATGTGTATATTTAAAGTTTAACTCTATTGTTTCGATAGTGTTATAATTAATATCTTAATGAATTTAAGATTAATTAAATGTTTCCGATGATTTTAATTGTATTCTACATTATACATTAAAATTGATTATAATGAATTATAATTTATTAGTTCATAAGTTAATATAAGTCATAATGAACTCAGTTTCAACACAATTAAATACTCAAGTAAATTCAAACTACAGTACAATCTTTGAAATATTCTAGCTATAAAAATTCATCAATTAGAAAATGTAAATTAGTTTAATGTGTTTTTATAAATGATTTTAAAATTTATCAATTAATAATGAATAAATATTTACTTTATAATTAATTATAATGTTAACATGAAACTTAGTTATATTTCTATAACCTTTTGAGCAAATGTTTAATTCCAGTTTTTATTTTTAAACAAAAATCCATATTAAACTCTATTTGAATAGTTTATTTCCAAAGCTATTTATTGTTACAATATTTATGATTTTATAACATTTATAATATTAGTGCAAATTTGTCTTGTAAATGGTATTACTATCACAATTATTTGAATTTTTAGAATATTGAAATATACTGACAATTAGTTTAAATTTCATTTATTAATAATGTAATCTGGAAAGGTATTTATTATGTTATAAATACCCTAATATTAATTTGAGTAAGTTAATCAATTGGTGAATAACGACAATTTTTGAAAATTTTAAAAAATTTATTTGAAATATTCATTATATTAATAATTTGCTTGTGATCTGAAATGAGGGGTTGGCTACCAGTCCTAGGTATGATAGCATATGCTTAGACAATATTTTTAGAAATTAATCGAAATTCCCTTGAAAATTATTTTTCCAAAAACAATATTGATTTCATATTAAATGTATATGAAATTGATTTTAATAATCAGTATTTGCATTGAGATTAAGTGAATGAACTTTAATTTCCTAGTATCATTTTCAGAAAAATAATAATTCTAACATTTATAATATTAGTGCAAATTTGTCTTGTAAATGGTATTACTATCACAATTATTTGAATTTTTAGAATATTGAAATATACTGACAATTAGTTTAAATTTCATTTATTAATAATGTAATCTGG